GTAACAAGTCCGAGAATAACATCAGGCAGTTGCAGAATACTGATGGCACTAAAATAGAAAATGACGTTGAAATAGCAAACATAATGAACAAGTATTACATAAATGTAGGAAAAGAACTATCAAACCAGATAAATACACCCAAAAATGTTGAATTTCCTGTAGAAGCGCAACCGTATTCCATATTCATTAAACCGACCAATCGCGAGGAAATCGAAAATATCATCAAAACCCTGAAACCAAATAAGGCCCCTGGATATGACATGATTACATCAGAAACATTGAAAAAAATCTCGAGAGAGATATCTAACCAGCTGACCCACATAATAAATAGTATAATAATGAATGGCCTTGTTCCATCCGAATTCAAACTGGCTGTCATCAAACCGCTCTACAAAAAAGGAGACAAAACACTTCCTATCAATTATAGACCTATCTCGTTGATATCAAATTTTGCGAAAATCTTCGAAAGAGTTATAAAAACGAGATTGGAATTTTTTATATCAAAACATGAATTATTATCAGGTAGACAGTTTGGATTCAGAACTGGAAAGTCCACCCAAGATGCCATCAGCAAAGTGGTTAGCGATATGTACGAGGCAATGGATGAAGGTGATCCGGCGCTGTGCATCTTCCTAGACCTTTCAAAGGCGTTCGATACAGTAGACCATACACTGTTGTTGAATGACTTGGAAGCTATGGGAATACGGGGGGCCGCTCACGCTCTTCTCTCGAGCTATTTACTAAACAGAAAACAAATTGTACAAATTCGTCAAACCTATAGCAGCGAGAGAGAAGTAGTGTGTGGGGTCCCACAAGGCACAGTGCTGGGCCCACTTCTGTTCTCCATATATATTAATAATTTATTAAAACTTGAAACGGTTGGTGAGATAACTAGTTTTGCTGATGATACTGTCATTTATTACAGAGACAAGAACTGGGAAGATTTAAAAACAAAAACAGAGAATGAAATGAAGAAAATCGTTGACTGGTTCAGTTCTAAGAAGTTATCAATTAACTTCGAGAAGACAAAATTCATGACATTCGCTTGTTACAAAAACAAATTACCTGATTTTGACTCCATTTCAATTGACTATCCTAACACCACTGTAAGCATACAAAAGGTTTCTGAAATAAAATACCTTGGTATCATAATTGACCAACACTTAAGGTGGGACAAGCATGCTCTTAACCTAGTGAATACATTAAGGAGCATGCTGTTCCGATTCAAGTATTTTCGAAATATTCTCGACACCTACAATCTAAGAATTTTATACTATGCACTAGTTGAGGCGCGAATACAATATGGAATTCTTGGATGGGGTGGTGCACTGGATGTTCACTTAAAAAAACTAGAGATACTACAAAAATACTTCTTGAAAATCATCCACCAGAAAAAACGAACATACCCATCCGAAGAGTTATTCAATGAAACAAAAATATTAGACATCAGACAACTTTACTTCTACCACATCATGATTTATACCTTCAAATATAGAAATACTCTACAACATATTGACCATATATATCAAACTAGACAAAAATCAACTCTACATATCAAGACATCAATTTCGAAAAAAAATGTTGGACAAAGAAATTATATGTTTTTGAGCAAGAAAGTATTCAATTTCATACCAACAGTTTTAAAAGAAGAAATAATCACTATAAACTCCTTAGCACTCATGAAAAAACGTATAAAAACTTATATTTCGCAAATAGGCCGACTCTGTATTCGTAACTTCCTTAATATCAAATGAGATTGAAAGCAATTATTGATTTGAACCAAGAATGAATTCCTCCACTATTTCATTAGTCCATTTCAGTTACAGTTGCAATAAGAATATATAATGTTAGACACTATCACTCATCTTTATAACTAAATTATGTAAGTATAGTAATTTTTTGTATTGTAATTTGTTCTTAATGTTATCGTAATTATTATTATTGTATTGTATTGTTATTGTATTGTACTACAGATGTATACAGCACACACTACCTTTTGTCAACTACGCTTGCGTGAACCATGAAATACCCATGCACAACCTTGAGTTTCTATGGGTCTTTTCTTGTTTATTCGCATTAAGCTTATCCAAGGAAAATTATATAGGATACTTAGATAAATAGATATATATATATATATATATATATATACCCACTAATTTCTTTCTAGTTTTCACATCATATTTATATATATATATATATCACTTCAATCGTAACAAGTCATTACTTTGTAATTGTTTTTATATGTCTGAATAAACGGGATTATTATATTATAAATTAAGGTTGATGTTTTGATCTTGTTGATCTGTTATTTCGCTTTACGTCAATTAGCTGTCGGTCATGACACCATGTCAACAGTGTCAAACTTGTCATGCGCCAAACGCCGATTCGGATTGATATGTCCTTAGATCATCATCGTCGAACCAACAAGACGAGTATTTGTGAAGAAAGGTGTGACGTCATTTTAGTCATCAATTCTGATTGGTTCAGATAGTCATCTGGGAAGAATCAAGTCTCTGGAGGGAGTAGCGATAACATATTTTATTTTGGATATTCAAATTTTCCGCCAATTTGAAAAGCGGAAACTGTTAGGTTGTTCTCGAAGTTTCTGGAAATTTGGAGAAGGGATTTCCTTTCTGGTCGTGAGACAAGAGCTCACTTCAGAAAATTCTTCGTGGTGGTCAAGTGCCATTTTTGTGGTGTGAACCGGCTTCTGAAGTCCTGAACCGCCTGGCGTTCTGGATCACATCAGGATATCCTGGATTTGCTGCTGATCTACAAGGACTGCTGGACTCTACAGATTTCTTCTGGTTTTGGTTTAAGAGGCAGGATCTTCATGGTTCATCACCCAGGCAGCCACGTGCCTACCTTCATCGTCATTTTAATCCCTAACCCTTCATAGAAGGTGAGTCTCGCATTATTACGTTTTTTCTCTCTGCCAGTCCATAAATTCAGAACCTCATATTCATGAAATTTTTAAGGGTTTTTCACCGGGAGTTTTCTACCGGGAGTTTTTTTACCGGGAGTTCTACAACGGGAGTTATCCTACCAGGAGCACTATTCTTCCCAGGAGTCATTGCTCGACCAGGATCTGTTAATTCTACAAGGCCTTTGGTGGCTATATAGTAGTCTGGAGTCTGGAATCTGGATATCGTCCCCTGTTTGTTCCTGATATGATGGATTTTCAAGGTGGAAATACGACAACTCTGTCAATGTCATCTGACATCCAGGGATGTGAAGTCAGCACCCCGCTCTCCGCCAACCTTCCCCGCAGCAGCTTCATCTGGTGGCATTAAAGCCATTTATCAAGGATAACTGGTGTAGGACACACCATACAGGTTTTTGACATAAAAATATATTTTTATTTTTTTTTTTCATTTTTATTCACTCATAATGCCCATTGCTAGTGTGTATAATGGACCATTTTTAAATCATAGCCAGGTCATAAATTGATGAAATCACACATGAAAGGTACATACATCCCCTCCACATAGTATACTATGCGCTGGTAGAATTCTTCCATTTTCAATTTTTTTTTAAAATCTGCTATGACTATGAAACGTCCTTACAGGAGCTCTTGATTCTTCAAGTACAATATAAGGTTGGTTTATACATATTTTCATCCACATAATAGCAGGCAACAGTGTATTTTCTCAACAGGAAATAAGTAGCTAATATTTTTTATTATGCATATTTGTCAAAACCTGTGATGTGATATATGAGTTCTATCATCATAATTAAATGTTTTGGGTATTGTATATGACTGTTTTATTTGTTTATTGACATGACACTCCAACTCACAACATCTCTATAAGGTAAATTTAGGTCTTTCAGTATGGGATAACAACTAATATTATTCATTATCTGGTTGCTCAACTTTCCAGGTAACTTTTCTTTTGAATTAAAAGTTGCAGTGGCGCCCCATCTTTTTTGTTTAACCTTATGATTGGGCCGGGATTGGCGCAGTGGAAGAGCGTCCGTCTCACGACCGCAAGGTCGTGGGTTCGATTTCCAGCACGGGCAAGGAACTTTTTTCAATATTTTATTTACGAATTGAATATTGTAAAGTTTCGGAGCATCGGCTGGGGATAGTCCTGCACGATTCGCTGTTGCGTTCCAATCAACAGTGCTGCTCCTAAAGTGGCGCATGGAGTTAGTAACAAAGCCTACACAGAACACGCAGAAAGATATGATGATGTGGTTGTGAGCATCAGAGAAGAAGTAGGACGGTGTAAGTAGGTGGGTGTGGAAAACTACCAGCTGAGCGTGAGAGCGGGCCAGCTGCTTAAGTAGACCTCGGTCTCGGGGGTTAACGATGATAGTTAGCAGGCCTGCCACTGCGCATATGGTAGTGAGTACATTACTAGCCTACGTGTATGTAGGTGGGTGTGGAAAACTACCAGCTGAGCGTGATAGCGGGCCAGCTGCTTAAGTAGACCTCGGTCTCGGGGGTTAACGATGATAGTTAGCAGGCCTGCCACTGCGCATATGGTAGTGAGTACATTACTAGCCTACAAAACACAGCTGAAAAACTCTGAAAAGAGAGCTGATGGGCGGTGCCTGAAAAGGATGTTAGCCAGCTCTCTTGAGCGATTCACATCAGTCATTGAAAACACTTGGGGTTGGCAAAAAGGTCCCATTGGGGACTAGTTGCTGACGTGGAAACGTCCCCCACCAGTACCAGTACCAGTACCAGTAACCTTATGATTGCTAGATAACTGAAATTTTGCTATTTTAACTCATTTTGATAACTCGAACCCATAGTGCCTACTGACGAAGAGCTGCCGTTCGCAAATGCACCTATTTTTTCATAAAAGTAGGGCTGCACGGTTATAAGAAGTCGAAGACCAATTGAGCATGGGTTTTTTGAAATCACCTCAGTGACCCCTATCCACACTTGAATTATTTACCATTCCCAATGAAACACCCTGTATAATCTCATAGGAGTAGATGAATATATTAATGAATTGATTAGATGATAGTGAGCCATCAGACACCCATCATAGTCAACATAATATTTTTATTGAAATATCATATTCAGGTTATATACACTCAATATAGATAAATACTACTAATCATTCTGTATTGTATTGATATTTATTTTGAAAGAAGGCATACCCAACGAACTCCCTATTCATATTTCTCATAATACATCCAGTCCTTCGGTCTAGCCAACTCTATAATTCTCGAAGTCGGTTGATACTTCAAAGCACTGGGACTAACCGAAGAAATCGACGTGTTAGCAGTTCCGACTAATTCTCTACATTTTGGCGTGACTGCCTTTGGTCTTGCAAGAGACCTTATCCTCTTCGTAGCCTTGTATTTCAACGTGGAATTCTTCACTTTCCAGTGACTGTCGTCCATGTTCACAATTGGTCTCTTCTTGGGTTCAGCTAATGACGAGAGATTCTCGGATATGTGACTAGTACCTGGAGATCCGATCTGCTTTATTTTCTTCTGGCTCTTTGTCTTTCTCGAGAAAGTTTCTGGGTGGATTTGCCTGAAGCCGTCTGGAATGTTCGAACTGCCTTTGAGGATCGATTTGGTGACCATTTGAGCTGTTTTGAGTACTGGAATTTTTGATTTTGTATTGACAACAAATTGTCAGAATTTCTTTACAATTGTCAAAATGCTGTACGAATGGATGACTTTGCTCCAAGTTGCCAACCTGAAAACCTTTACCAATGTTGAAGCAACATTATGGAAGTTATTTTGATGAGATCTGATTGTAGTCTACTCAGCGCAGTAATAGGAGTTATTCAGAAGAAACATACATTTTTGTGAGCTCCAGTTTTGATCGTCGCCATTTTCATAATACTTTGTTACATATTCAGGATTATTTTATTGATTACAACACTATTATTACACATCATTATTTCTACGAGCGAGCGGAAAAGTACCTTTTCCGCATGGTTTTCCGTTTTGAAAGTTGTACTTTTTCGTACGATTTCACTGTTCCAAACGATTTCGAAGGAAATATACCAGGAGAGATGCGGTGATAACTCTCGGCACGTATGTTCTTTCGTCGTTACAAGTACAATATCAAGAAAAGACATATTGATAAATCGAAGCTAACTGGACATATTCTTACTGAAGATGGACAACATAATATGGCAGAGTGGAATAATATAGAACTCATAGAAAAGAAAGAAAACAATCAAACAAGAAAAATCAAGGAATCCGCTTGCATCCTTCTAAACGGAGACAATAACATTGCTTCCTTTTCAGTTGATATAATTAGAACATGGTATTCACAACTGAAAACTAAACATGGAAATGATAGATTCAAGATCAATCAATGAAAACATCTTATTACTCTTTCGTAGACTAAAATCACCCATTCATTTGCCAACATCAGTATGACACTGATGGAAAGTGTCAAACTATAAGCAGCACAACTTTCAATGAAGAATATTTTGCATATACTTCACATGTTCCCAGATAGCACAAGTACATCTTATGGATATACTATGGATATCCATCATGGATATTGTGGATGTCCATAAGATATCCGAAAAGGCTCTGGTATATCCTATGGACGTCCATAGGATGTGACAGTGTGACCTTTTTGGATGTCATAGAGATATTCATTATGGACATCCATAAAATATCAACTATGAATATGAATGAGATAGTTTACCCTATATATAGGAAGAATCACAAAAATTGGGAAGCACTCACGTCTCACTGCGTTCGAATAATGTAGTTGTCAGTTCTTATGCACCATCAATTTTGAACGAATTCGTAGGAATCACTTCCAAATTCACTTCAAATTAATTACAAATATGAGAACATATTGACATCATTTGATTACTCCAAGGTTGGTAGAATCGATGATCTATAAATTGCGCTGTTCGCGTTGAAAACCGAATTAATTATAATAGCAGATAGTGCATCACAATGTGTGCTATCTTTTGGAAGATCCACGCACAAGTGTTACTTTTGTGGATCTCCTTCTATTTATTTATCATTTCATTCATTGTATATATACTTGATTTGAAATTTCTAGGTATTGATCTTTTGTCTCTGTATCTTTTATGGATATCCTATGGACGTATTCGGGACGTTTGTTTCGGATATCTCAAGTACATCCGCAATCGGATATCTTATGGATGTACATTTTATGTCCACGGATATCCCGCCTTGAATAGGACTTGAAATGGATATCCATAAGATATCCTGTGCTAACTGGGTTGAGAACGGGAGCAGATTCGGTTCCGAAACGTCCAAAGATAAGTGAAAATTCGATATGTCCTCAATATATCTATATTTATTTCCATCAAACATGTTTTCAAACAAATTGTCACTGACAAGCTACTGGATTTTTCTTTCAGACTCCCTGATAGAGAAATTTGTTGAACGCAGTGACATATTGGGGCAAATCATCTGATTTTTCCCACTACATATATATTGAAATAATACGAATATATTCATTTTTCTCCGATTGGCAGCGAATCATAATTTTGCTGACACATATCAATCAGCAAAGTATTACTTTTTCTACCTAGGCAGCAAAGTGGGTACTTTGCTGATTGATAGGTATCAGCAAAATCAATAATCCATAAATCATTTATAATTTCCTTCATATTCCATTCGAGACATCTCCGGCAACAAATTCAACTCTATATTTTTTGCCACCTCCTTTATTTCTGGAGGTGTGAGTACTTCCAGGTCGCTATCACTGGCCATTATATAATAATTCAAATATACCGATATTTTTTTGCACAACTGTCAAAATTTTCATGAATTGTCAAACTATAATTATCATGGACAACTGCGATTTCTATCAAATTTCATTTTAATTGAACACTACAGGAAAAATAAAGAGATTGTGGAAATTGTAATAATTTGCAATAACAATATCCTCCTATATCATTATGAACAATCGGAGAAAAAATTATATGTTCAACTCGGCAGCAAAGTAGATTATTGACTGCCTTATAGCTGGATTCCTAGCCTCGCTACGCTCGGCTATGAATTCAGCGTCAGCAGTCAATCTACTACTTTGCTGCCTATATAGTTAAACAAATAACTATTAATAGAAACGAGGAGAGTAAATCCCAAAATATCAAGTCAAATGAATGTACCACCTCCTCGATCAACTTACAGACAGTATTTAATGTTTCAGTTATTGTTATTTAAATGTTTCCCATATGAGTTACTTATTATATCGATGAAAAAAAATCTCTTTCATTATTTTTCAGTGCATGAGAATATCGTGCGGAGAAGTTACTTTTCAGCACTAGTGCGGTAAAGTTACTTCGTCCCGCGTCGTTCGTGCAACTGCCGTCCCGTGCACTTAGGTGAATAACAATTTTGGTGAAGAAGTTTGATCGTTGCAGTAGGAAGTAGAAATATTCTTCATTTGAGTGCTAAAAGTCTATCCAGACATAATTCGTAACAATCAGATAATGAAGTTCCAAATTTTGAATTTACTCGGCCGTTACTTGATGGAAATCCATGGCAAATATAAAAACTTCACAAACGATAAGATTCTCACAAAATTCCTGAACACACAACATCTTTCGCTAACACAGTAGCTTCGTCAGGTGATAATACCAGTAAGTATATCACCTGACGAAACTACTGTGTTAGCGAAACATGTTGTGTGTATAAGAATATTGTGGAAATCTTATCGTTTGTGAAGTTTTCACAATGAAGTTTGAGTTTCAACATTTTCCTGTGAGGAGAAGTGACCCAAGGAAGTGTCTTTGAGTGGATGAAACCATATTAACTGTGTGAAAACAAAGAAATCACAGTCGATATCATGAATAGAAACATTAATATACCTATTCAATCATAAACATTTTCCTAGTTAAAATAATATGTGGAATAGTATAGGTACCCGTAGTGTGGGCACCGGATAAGTTTCACACTGGTTCATCGGATATATCTTTTGACAAGGACGCAATATTCACTGAAATATTGACGATCTGCCCCTAACTCATTAACCTAACCTAACATTGGGACATTTGTACAACCTTGACGGAATATAGGTCGCGTGCAAGAACTGTCAGATGACTGACCCTGGAGGCAAAACATATTTGTTTACAAGTGATCGAAATAGTTTTCCACAATTATTTTGTCATATGAATCGCCGTATTTTTCCGCTATTCATCAATTTGCTAATGCCATCACATTGTGCTGGTGTAAAATGCACAAAAACTGCAGCGGAAGATGAAGAAATCCTGATGGTACATTATGATTCAAAAGTAAGTACCTACTATATAGTCACTCACATAGTTTTCATTTTTGAAATTTGGTTGTTTCTCTGATTTCTCATCGGAATTCCTTCTACAATAGGATCAGCTAATAGAAATATACCTTAAATTTCTAGAATAATGCAAGAAGATTGGATTCATGCAATCAATCAGTAGGACTGGTCTGACATGCTGACGATCGTGTGTGTTGTAGACATTTTCAATCTATTAGCAGCATTAGCTTGTATTGCAGAAGTGGCAGAAGGCAGAAGGAATTTTAATAAGGAATGACAGCATTTCATAATGCTAACTATGTGAGATTACTATTTACCAGAAAAATCATATTCCCTAGTCTCTTGCTGCATTTTTTGTGCATTGTACAACAGCACAATGCGAAGGCATGCTTGAATTAATGAATAACGCAAGAAACACGATTCGTATGCCAAAATATTGTGAAAAACTATTTCAACCTTTTGATTCCTCTGTAACCAAATAAAAAAGTGAGGTTGTGTTTCAATAATTCACAGAAGAATGAGGTTGTGTTTCAATATTTTGCCTCCAGGGTTGGTCTTCGTGCACGCGACCTATAACAGTAAGATCCCGGCGTGTAATCAGATCACTACACGGGGCACAAACATTCCATTGCCTTTAAATTAGTATACAATATGAAGCAAGTATAGCAAATTGATGAGTGCATGCTCTGTAACACACAGAATTGAGTGCACTGGGTTGAAGAGCCCGATAATCATCATTATTTCGAGTAAAAGATCGACTAGGTACTGGAAACAATGAGCAACTAACACACAACAGATAACATACGAGTAAACGGGAACAATCCCTTTGCTCCGAGACAATTTCCATACGACCGACTCCTGTCTATTCACCCTACATAATTTCGTCCTGTGCACACAGGGCTGTCAGCTCTTGCCCATTACTGCCGAACAAATGGTTCCACCCGGCATGTGCCCCCTCCGATAATACCGATAACTTACGGAATATATTCACTTAGTGCCCAACCTCTTGGATTTATGAACTTCCAAGATCGATTAAGTTGGTTAGCAGTGTTAGAGAGTTGGCTAGATTGGAATTTTGTTTGCTTCAAAATATTCCAAGAGCGAGCTGAAAATTTTGACCTTCATCTGATATAACGAAATGATATACAGAGAGCAAAAAACAAGGCCAGTGCTCTAACTTCTGAATCATTCGAAGTCGGATTTTGAAAATTGATGGGTAACAAGTATACCAACCCTAATAGCATACTGAAGTCACATGGATGTTCATGGGACGTCACTCCGAGATATTCGGGACGTCCCATGTCCCATGACATCCATATAGTACGTCCGTGGGAAGTACGAATGTCCCGATTTCCTACCAAAAAAGGATATTCCTGTGGAATATACATTGGACCCCTTCCGGAAATCATCCGAT